TATTTTTCATGGTCATACATCTCGATGTTGAGATGATCAATCAAAAGGTTTTTCAACATTAAAACTACCTTTTCCAATGGATTTTTGAGGTGCATCCGTAGTTCTACATTATAAGGTTGCATCCTTATATAAACTTTTTCCATATAATTTTAATGATAATGTTTAGTTATTATTTAATTAGATTTGTCATAATAAATATATTATTTTAATATGTAAAGTTCACAATAACTATACAATAGAAGGGCTTACCAAGGATATCCAGATAAAAACTCTTATTGATAATTTCCCAATAGAATTATCGTTCGGGAAATCCACATATGAACATTGCATCTCAATCGTAGTTAGCAAATCAGGGAATAATTATATATTGGCGAACCAAAACATTGGTAATGTATCAGTTTTGTTTCTAAAAGTTTGAGCAAAAATTGGGTAAAAAAAGAAATCACCAAAAAAATACGATAAGTTATAGAATTGTGAATATTTCAAATTTGTCTAAAAAAAATAAGGTGAGAAAATAAGATATGTAAAGGTGACGTAATATAAGACTATGGTTTGTCGTTATTGGTTTGCAGTTATTATGTATATATATTAAAGCCATTGAAAAATAATTTTATAGCCATACCAAGTGTCTTTAGAGTAATTCTTCAGAATTTATTGTCTAAACTTTCAATAAATCCATCAACAATGTATTACTCTTTGTCACATCGTAAACCATATATACAAATTTATTGTTAACAATTTCAAAAAAATTATGTTACGGACTTATTCATAAAATAACAACAATACTATTTAACCCAAGAACTATATTAGTAAATAACAAGTACGGTTGTTTACAAAAAAAAAACAAAACACTCAAGAATTGCAGTCAACTAAAAAATAAAATTGTAGGGAAAAATTGAGATTTTTTAAAGAAATAAAATAAGGGTTTATTTTGGTTTCATTAAAAAGACGTAATTTTTTTTTAAGATATTTTGAGAAACTCGGCGCTCTTAACGGATTTTAAAAAATCGATTTTTTTTTCAATGGTGTACGGAGACTTGTTACATATTGTCTGGAGTCTGAACTCTCGATAAAAGAGTCTTGGCTCTTCCCGCTAGTTTTCACCCCTTTCTCTCTCTCTCTCAACGGTTGAACGGGTGCATGGTGGTGTTTCTTAAGACATAAGAGGAACCATGGTTCACCACCCTTGTTGGAAGGAACTGGACAAACCTTTTCTGGCTGCCCTAATTCGCTACCCTTAATGCTATATGGTCCTGATCTGGTGAGATTTTTATTTTTTTTTGTATTTTAAAAGATTTAGATTCAATTTTTTGTGCTTCAATATGGCTTGATTTGATATGGGTGGTTTATATCTCTGGGGTTTATTCTGGTTTTCTATTTAATGTTAAGGTTTAATAAAGATTCAATCCACGGGTTTCAGTCTTTAACTTTGTTTGATCAGGATTGCTTTTGGTCTTATGCGATGGGATTACATTAGCTAGGGTTTGATTACGTTTTTTTCTTGAGGCCTTTTGGGGTTTTCTGAGTGATAATATGGGCTAACATTTGTATATTTGTACATACTTTGATTGATTTCCCAGTCTTGTTTGACAAATTTTCGTTTATTCAATGTTATTTAAAATTCGTAGTTGCTCGCCACTACAAAAATTACAGAGGGGCAGTCAAATCCTTTAAATTATTTATTCAAATTTTATATTGATAATTTTGCAGAAATATCGACATGAAACCATCCATCCACTCACTGCTTTTCTGGTGAATTTTAACTATAAATATTATTTACAAGTGATTTCTATGAGATTTTTTTTATTATATGCGATGCTCAATCTATCATTTGATGTGTTTAGGCTCTGTAGTAGATTTAGGTGACCTATGATGGATTTCTGCTTACTCTAGGGCTTTTTAATTCACTGAATCATCTTTGTAAGATCCTTGGGAATCCTAGAAGATTAGTTTTCCATTACTTTCATCAATTTTTATGAAAGGTATATTCCTTTTAGTTTTACTGTGTCACCTCTTTTTTTAATTTGCATCATTCTGTGATCATACTTCATGTAACATATTTAATCATGGGTTCTAAAAACAATTACAGCACCTTTGGCACAACTATCGGAGTTATTTATCCACCCTTGCAAACATGACTGCACCCTCACAAACATGACTCATGGTTTTAGGAATTTCCTCAAAGTTTCATTCATTTAATCACTTCATATATAGTACTGCAAACTAATTTGTTACTAGTTTATTTTGTTTGGCACTCTGGTTTGTTATAGCATTCCTGTGTCTTTCATCTAGTATTACTCTGATATTGTGTATTTCTGGACGAGATCAGTAAATGTGGAGTGGTATATGTGCACACGTGGTAACAGTTTTGCAAGAAAGCGGTTGAATATAGTTTGAAGAAGCATGATGAATTCATCCGTGGTGACTCCTGAAGCTGTGCTCGAATCGCTTATGAATGATGGCACATTTGATGCCATTAGGTCAAAGATTATCAATCAGCTCAAAGCTAATGTAAGTGAATGGGCACTTTTCCCCTTTGTTATGTGTTTTAGTTTTAATTGAAGAATATTGCCTGCAAATTGTTCTTTGTTGGTTTTGTATGCTTGTGTTGTTGGGTGAATCATATTGGTTTTCTCTTATTTTAGTGAGAACAGTAGAGATGGGAGTGAAATAATGTATATTGCAAGAATAATGAAGGGTTTGTAGAATGCAGAGAGCAAGAGGAATAAGAGAGAGAGAGTAGAACTGTAGATTATAAGAATAATGAAGGATTTGGAAACGTGAACAAAGTGTTTCGTTTTAATAGTAATTGAGGAGATATATATATATATATATATATATATATATATATATATAGAGAGAGAGAGAGAGAGAGAGAGAGAGAGAGAG